AGGGGACTTCCCACGGCTTGGAGAGTGCACCCTACTCCCCATTCTCCCACACCCGGTTTCCCCACCCTGGACTTAGGGTTTCTGGGGACCACTGCCCCACTTTGTAAGGGAGCGTTTATTATGCTCAAGGAGAGAAAGAATTCAGTTACTAATGTGAGCCAGGAACAGACCTCAACTCCGGGAGGGCATAGGGAAGAGGGCAGTTCTGCCCCCAGCTGTCTTAGTTACCTGGCTGGGTTTCAGGTGACCTTCGACCCTTGGTGCTCTGTTGTACTTGAGCCGTGTGAGGGCAGGAGGAGGGGTGTCGGTGGGGGCTCTTCTGCAGCGGGTTCCCCTTGTCACTCATTGGTGGAGGGCTATGAGCGCCTCCCCCCATTATGCCATGCGCCTTGTCAGTGGGCACTCAGCAGCCCCTGTCCACGGAGAACACCCTCCCTGGGCAAGGTGGTGGTGGCCGGTTGCAAAGAACCTGAGGCGGCCTGGACACTAGTTCTCATTTTACAGATGTGGGAACCGAGCCCCAGAGAGGTGGAGTGGCTTGTCCAAGCCACACAGCTATGAAAGTTGCTGAAACTGGACTGCACTGTCCTGGCTTCCAGCTCAGAGTACTTTCCAGAATTTTCAAATGGTTTGAATTTTTCATTCCAGCCTTTTTATTTGTGCAGCTTTGGGCATGTTAATGGATTTCTCAATTTTCATTCTTGTGAAACAGGAATATTAAATAGCACCTACTTTGGAGGATTGTACAAAGGGCACTGACTGGAGAAAAAAGCTGTCCGGTGCCCAGCACATGCCAGACACCCCTGGACAGTTAGGAGGTACCAGCTGCTGTGGTGACTCCCCCCGTGGGTGGGAACCACCCTGCCTCATACACAGAGGGGTCTGTCCTTCCCTCCAGGCCACTGCAGGCAGGTCCAGTGCAGTGGCCTCCGCTCACCTGTCGGGGCCAATACCTAGGGAGGCATTTACATTCTTGGCATTCTTCTTGCCTCTGGGGGCTGAAAGAGGCACTGGTAAGGGTGGGGGAGACTCCAGGTCGAGAGAATGGAAAGGCAGTAAAGGAGTAGCTAGGTGCCCTCTGACCTCTGCTGCTCCTGCTCGGGAAAGAGAAGGCCCCCTCCCAGGTTCTTGCACTGAGGAAGCCCAGACAACGGAAGAAGAGGCTGCCAGGAGCCCCCATATCTACTTGCTGTCAAACACACTACATGGCTGTGCAGATGGTGGTGCTGATCCAAGTGTCCTTGCCCATCAAATGGCTCCACTCATCGAACCCACCTCAGCGGGCAGTTGGAGGAGTAAAACGCTTGGAGGGTGCCTGCTGTGCAGGGCCTCAGTGTTAGCTGCTATTATTAATTGTAGATGAGAAAATTGAGACTCAGGGAGGTCAATTAACGAGGTCACACAGTCTTAATAAGTGATGGAGTTGGCATGCAAACTCAGGTCAAGCTCTTGTAAAATTTAGGTCACCCTACAGAATCTGCCAAGTTCAGAGGCCTCTGGAGCCTGGGGTGGAAGAGAGAGCTCCAGGTCGAAGAGTACTTGTTGTCTTGGCTAGGAGGGTACTTGGTCAAGGGGACTCAGTGTGACCCTGGGTCACAGCTGTTCTCAGAAGGGAAGTCTGATTGGGGGCCCTTTGCCTGGAGTCAGATAGGTGTCCACATGGACCCCCACCACGGGACTGCCAGGGGACCCTGGGGAGGGGTGCTTCCCCTCTGCTTAGGCTGGCCAGGGCTGAGTGGCCAAGGTGAGGGTCAGGCTTGTCACTGGATTGGAGAGGGGAGGGGGATCAGAGTGAGCCCCAGGGACACTGCCCTTCCTCCTCCCTTCCCCCACCCTCCTCTGGCATTTGTTTCCTTTCAGAAGCTAGGCTGGGGCTCTCAGACAGGGCAACAAAAGCAACTTTCCTCCAAGCCACTGCCACCTGTTGGGTTTTCACACATCGGGGGTGAGTGCCGGGAGGGAACCGTTGCCCTTTTCCCAGTGTCTTCCATGTGCCCCCTCTGGCCCCCCAGGGCCTGGGATTCTCTTTGCTGCCTAACTTGACAGGGCTCAGAAGCACGAGGGGTTTGGGGGCCGCAGCAGCTGGAAGGGGGATTGAGTGGGAAGGGGCCGGCGCTGGCAGCCGGGAGAGAGTTTGATGGATTACTCTGCGGGCCTAGAGGTTTCTCCCTAATCCCCCTTTGTGTCCTGGCCTGCAGCCCCCTCAGTCTCTCTGACAAGCTGCTAAGCAGAAGGCTTCCAGTCTGAGTGAAGAAAAGGCAGCGCAGCAGGCGGACTCTAAATCCCTGGCCTCCGGGCCCTGGGGGAGGCCGAGCCAGGGAGCACGTCTGGGCGGGGGCGGGTCTTCCTCCCTCTGCCTGGCCTTATTCTTTCTCAGAGCCCCTTCGAGTGCAGAGGTTGCATCCTGAGTGGTGTTTCCAGGTGTCCGTGGGAGCCCTGTGAATTCATGGGCCTTGGCTGTTTGTGCAAATCACTGCCTTTTTGTAGGGTGGGAACAGGACATGCAGACCCTCGCTTCTCTGGAAGTATTTGAACCCTGAGAAGCAAAGATTAAAAATGGGTAGGAGGGCGCCGAAGCCAAGCACAGTCTGATCCCGACCCAGGGAGGATCCCCGCAGCGGGCTTCTCTGACCGGGGCTCAGTGATGCCGGCGGGCTCCTTACCCCCGTGGACGCTCATTTGCAGGTTTCCTGGCCGGCCAGCGTGGCCTCTTCCTGGGGTGTCCGGAGGCTCCTCCTGGAGCTGTCATGAGGGTGGAGTTGGTTTTGGGACTGCAGTGTGCTGGGTTTGACCGGGTAAGGCCAAGGACATTGCCGGGGACCATCAGCTGGCAGGGAGGCTGGGCTGGTGAACCCACAGACCTCTTCCCACCCCCGGCCTAGAGGGTCTGGAGAGCTCAGCCTGGAACCAGATTCTGGGGTCCGGCCTGTGGGGAGGAAGGGGGGGGTCCTTCCTACCTCGAAGTCCTCCAACTGGAGGTTGTACCCCTCCCTCACGCCAGGCCTGGGGTGGGGCTTCCTAGTGTAGGGTAGTGTGTGTGGGGGGATCGGCCTGGAGTGACTCCACCCACTCTGCCACTGAGTTATTACCCCTCTGGCTAGCCCACCCTGTCCCCAGTTTCTCTGTCTGCGGGGAGGGTGACCCTATCGGAGCTTGAGCTGCCCCAGGAGCCGAGAAAGCCGCACTATCTTCGTGAGCAGGGAGGGACGAGGGCACAGTCTTTGACTGCCGGCTCCTCCCACTCAGGGTGGGGGCTGCTGCCGTTCCTGTGCCTGGGTGGGGTGTGGGGACGCTGGCCGGAATAAAGAGGCCATAGAATTGCCGCCTGACACTGGCCCGCGGCAGTGGGGCTGCCCCAGCCTGGGCTCCCTCTGGCCTCTGTCTGTCAGCCGAGGGACTCTCCCCCCCCCCCCCCCAGCTCCACTTCAACTATGCGGCCAGGATCCCCTTTGAAAGTCCTCAAAGGCCCCTTTATACGTCCCTCTGACCCTCCCTTCCCATGGGGGGCTACGGGAGTGGGCTTGGGAGTGGGCTGTGGGCTCCGTTGCCTCTCCTCCCGCTTCCTCACTCTGTCATCAGAATTTTGGAGAAAGTTCAGGCCAAGTTTGTTGCTATCGCTCAGTTTCATTTCCCCTACTCCCTGCTGAGGCCTAATCTGAAGTGGGTGGTGACCGAGCCCACTGCCTGCTGGGGGGGTGGGGGGGTACCACATGTGGAGCCCACTTGGTGGTTAGGTCTCCGGTATCTGGAGCTGGACAGATAGAATGCAAGTTCACGGGCCCTGCCAAGGCCCTGGGCGGTCTGGGCTGGGGCTCTGCTCCTGGGGGCGGGGAGAGTGGTGGTGGTGGTAGGAAAGATGGCCTAGGGTGGAGCCCCAGGGAGGCTTTCAGAGGTGTTGGGTTTCCTCCAGCTTTCCTGCTGTTCTGGGGGGGGTGGGCAGAGAGTAGGGGAGCTATTTGAGAGGGCCTTGTCCCAGTAGGCCACTGTGCCTTTCTGGGAGGTCAGGTCAGACTGCCGCTTGGGTACTGGACCCTTCCTCCTTTCCCCGCCCCTCCCTACCAGGTGTCTTCGGAGTCCTGCTCTCGGGGTCGATATTCTGTTTGCCAGATCGGCAGAGTGCTCCAGGGGCAGCGGGCAGGAGGGCTGAGTCGGGCATCTTCGAGACGGGAGAGTGTAGGAGAGAACTGCATCCTGTCCCCTTGCCTGTCTTCCTGAAGCAGACCGGGGAGCTCCCCAAACAGGGGACTCAGCAGCGACCTGTCACTGTTCAGTTTTAGCAAGAGCTGTGCCCTGGGGCTGCTCGTGGGAGTGTAGCTGGGAAAGTGGTGGGAACACATTCTTGCCCGCGCCCCCCACCCCCACCCGCCCTGGGCCTGGGAGCCAGAGGGTCCGGGCTTCTCTATTTGTGCCTCGGGAAAGAAAGTCTGGAGGGACTGCTGGTGACTGCGGTTAGTGCTGGGGGTGTCCTCGGTCACCTCCTCCACCCCGAGGGCCCTGGAGTGGGGGCGAAGAGGGGCGGACTGGGGCACTGGGGAAGCTGTGAGGGGAAGAAAGGGGCCTTTGGAGGGGAGAGTGCTCTTACGGATCTGGAATCCCTCCGCCACTTCCAGGCTGGAAAGGGTGGAGCCGGTGGGCAGAGCGTGCCCTGGACCCCGGGATGCGGTAGGAACCAAAAGGGGGGGAGGACGGGCTCAGCAACCCGAGAACAGTGTGTGGGGCTTGCAGCCAGCCCTCTTCCCAACCGACTCCTCCCCGTGAATTCCTCACCTGGCCCAGCCCGGGGTTTCTAGGTGGAGCGCCTCGGGGGCTGGGGCGAGGTGCTGAGGTCTCAGAGGCGGCTCAGGGCCTCTCTGGGATGTAGGTGGATGAGGGGAAATTCCTCTCTCCACCCCTTTTTATCTTTCTCTCTTTTGGGCTGAGGAGCTGGATTAAGGGAAGGGGTGCGGCAGGGAGGTGGGCGGGGTGATTGACAGTGTCAGGAAAGCTGCAGTTTGTTTTCAACAATGGTGAGCACCCAGGGCCTGGGAATGGGGGCAGGTCGTGGGTGAGGTTGGGTCTAAACGTGTGTGTGTTTGCTCAGGGAGGGCCTGGTCCTTAAAAACCCAGGGCAGGTGAGTGTCCAGGCCAGGCTCTGTCCAGGCTGAGGGCAGGGAGTGGAATGGGCTGGAAGCCTTTTGACCCAGAACCCTTCCCTCCAAGCTGGAAAGCACCCTGGTCTCCGTACTATCCGCTGCTTCCCTTCTGGGGGTGCTGTGGCAATGCAGACACTGGGGAGGGGCTTGACCCAAGCTGAACCCACAACTGCCCAGCTATAAGACTAATATTGGTACCCCTACCCCCTTTGGGGGACTTGTGGGCCAGTGTTTTACACTCCTCCCATGCCAGCCAGTCCATGCCTTGTCCCAAAGTTGGTGGTCTGGGTCTGAGCAGATCTTTGGGGAGGGTGCTGCTGGTAGCTCAGCCTTGTCTGAAGCCCCTCCCTCCCTGATCAAGCAGCTGCAGAGCCTCAGAAGGCAGTTATGGGATGGAGACCCCTTCCCTGGGGTCGAGGGCCCTCCGAGCTCTGTGGCGCCGCACAGAGAACACCTACCATTTGTTTTGTAATACGCAAGGCCTCCGGCCAAGTGTCATTGGAAAAGATGAATGAGGTTGGCGTGCCAAACTATGAGATGCTGAGATTGGAAGAGGGAATAAGTGCAGGCTGAGGGTGCTCCAGGTCAGGGAGGGGACTGGAGCCTGGCCCTCCGCCACTGTGGACCTCACGGAGGAGTCGTGTTCCTCAACTCCATTTGTAGGACTGAGTTGCAAGGCATTCCCCCCCCCCCCCAACTCCAGCGGCCAGTGGCCAGAAGCTCTGTGCACCCAACTCCTTTGAAATGGATGACAGGTTAGGGGACTCCTCCCTTTACACACAAGATGCCCGCCTCCTCTGTACCGCCTCTTCATGGCTGACTTGAGCTTTTGTGGTCACTTCTAAACCATGCAGACTGCGGTACGTGTTATTGTGGCGAAGCACGACCTGGAGGCCAGCTGCCCAGGGGTGGGGGGTGCAGGGTGGGTGCTTCCCAGTGGGATCTCGACGCACAGGAGGCAGGCCTGGAAGGAAGGGCTGTGGGGACTTCTCTGCTGGGAATGGAGCTGTTTGGGGAGCAGACAAAGGCAGCAGGGGAAGTGGCGGGGCGCCCTGCCAGCCCAGGGGGGCACAGGGCCATGGCAGTTGCCAACAGTTGGTGTGGTTTTACCCCTGTAAGGCTGGGACCTGGGCACATTGGGGCTGGACTGCAGCCCCACTTTCCCATGGCGGTCAGGCAGCACAGGTGGGGACACTGCTTCGCTGTGAACGAGGGGTGGCCGGGGGACTAAGGGGGAGGCTTGCAGCTCGGGTCCTCCCAGGGGAGCGCCCTTCCAGTGGGTCAATGACGGGTTCAAACCCAGCCCAACAAACCACAGCCTCTCCTCCCTTTCTCCTGGTCCTTGTCCTTGGGGGCGGGAGTTCCGATGCCACAGGGTTCACAGCCAGGCAGTGCGGAGTGGGAAGTGCTGCTCTTAGCAAAGGGGAATTGAGCAGCCAGCTTTGGGAAGTGGAGAGAGAAGCAGACAAACCTGGCCTGGTGGAGGGTCTCTGGGGGCACCTTGGTAGCAGGGCCTGAGGATCTGGGAATTCAGGTGGTTTGAGTTTTGGCTTTCCCTCCCACACTAGCAGAGGAGGGCAATTGCAAAGGTATTCCAAGACAGAGAATAACCAACATCTCTTTGGCTCTGGAGTGTGCTGAGGTTTAGAAATCGTATTTACCTTATTAATTGTGTCAGCCTTAGGCTAATAATAACATGCATTTCCTGACTGGGCGGTAGGGGTGGCACCTGGGTGGCTGGGCCCATCGGCCTGGGAGCAAACAGGATTCAGGGCATTCAGAGCGAACCCTGGAGACCTGGTTTCCAGGACTTAACACTTGGTGCGTTTGTTGTCCCTGCCCTTTTAGGACCTGAGTGACATGTCCCCACCAGGCGCCCCATGGCAACAGGCAGTTAGCGTGGGCTGAGCGGCTGGACTTGCGCGGAGGACCAGAGAAATGGGCTCCTGGCCGAGTCCTAGGCAGCCGATGGCAGCGAGGAGGAGAGGCCCTGGCATCTGGAGCAGGGCTGGGAGGAAGCAGTTCTGGAGATAGTGACGGGTCGGAGTCGTGCCCGCCTGGCCCGCCATGGTCCTGAGGCTGTGGGTGAGCCGCCTTCTGCGGCATCAGAAGGCCCAGCTCCTGCTGGTCAACTTGCTGACCTTCGGCCTGGAGGTGTGTCTAGCTGCGGGCATCACCTACGCGCCGCCCCTGCTGCTGGAAGTGGGGGTCGAAGAGAAGTTCATGACCATGGTGCTGGGTGAGTCTCCACTTCCTCCTGCCCTCCTGTTCTGCCTGGAACCAGGGCAGCAGTGCCTCTGTCCACAGCGCTGCTTGGAGTGACAGGTGACTGTCTGCTGGGTTGGTACAGCTGGGGATGGGGTGGCCTGGGCTGAGGGGGTCCCAAGAGGAATAAAAGAGTACAGGGACATGCCCTGGTCACCACTAAACCCCTGTCTAATGCCTGGTTCACAGGAGACACTGTAGAAATGGCCCTTCCCCTTTGGCTAGCCCTTTATAATCTATAATCTGTAATCTCATGCTTGCAGCAAACCTCTGAGGTTAGCCGGTCCACGGGGAAGGCAAGGGAGGTCTGCAAGAAGTTCGTTGACCTAGCTGGGCTGGTCCCCAAGCCAGGGCTCTTCCTTAGCCCTGGGTCAGGGGCTGAGCTCGGGACTGCAGATGAATTCTGCAGAGGCCACCAAAGCCGTCACCATCATGTGACTCCCAGGAAGTAGGGGCTCTGTCATGGTCACGGCTCTGGAGTCAGGCTCTGGTCACAGCTCTGCCTGCTGAAGCCCTGCCTCCCGCCTCCCTAGCTCTGTGGCTGGACAGAAGTGTCACTTATCTGTTGTTCCATGCCTTGGTCTCCCCATCTGAAAAAGGGGCATTAGTGACCCAAGCTGCGAGGACTGAATTAGAGTCCCTGTGAGGCACTCAGCACAGCACCCAGTGCAGGACCAGTCCTCCCTACGATAATATCACGGCCATCTCTGTCCTTCTCAGGCAGGCCGGCCCCCCTTCCCCCACCCTCGAGGGCCCCAGCCTCTAGCTCATACTGCTTGTCCTTTTTACAGGCATTGGTCCAGTGCTGGGCCTGGTCTCGGTGCCGCTCCTAGGCTCGGCCAGTGACCACTGGCGTGGGCGTTACGGTCGCCGGAGGCCCTTCATCTGGGCGCTGTCGCTGGGCGTCCTGCTGAGCCTCTTCCTCATCCCGAGGGCCGGCCGCCTGGCGGGGCTGCTGGGCCCGGACACCAGGCCCCTGGAGTTGGCCCTGCTGATCCTGGGCGTGGGGCTGCTGGACTTCTGCGGCCAGGTGTGCTTCACCCCCCTGGAGGCCCTGCTCTCGGACCTCTTCCGGGACCCGGACCACTGTCGCCAGGCCTTCTCCGTGTACGCCTTCATGATCAGCCTCGGGGGCTGCCTGGGCTACCTCCTGCCTGCCATTGACTGGGATGCCAGCGCCCTGGCCCCCTACCTGGGCACCCAGGAAGAGTGCCTCTTTGGCCTGCTCACCCTCATCTTCCTCACTTGCATGGCGGCCACGCTGTTCGTGGCCGAGGAGGCAGCCCCGGGCCCCGCCGAGCCAGAGGAAGGGCTGGCGGGCCCCTCCAGGCCGCCCCACTGCTGCCCGTGCCGCGCCCGCCTGGCTTTCCAGAACCTGGCCACGCTGTTTCCCCGGCTGCACCAGCTTTGCTGCCGCGTGCCGCACGCCCTGCGCCGCCTCTTTGTGGCTGAGCTGTGCAGCTGGATGGCATTCATGACCTTCACACTGTTTTACACGGACTTCGTGGGCGAGGGCCTGTACCGGGGCGTGCCCAGGGCTGAGGCAGGCACCGAGGCCCGGAGGCACTACGATGAAGGTAAGGCTCCGTGGCCGGGGCTGCCAGGGGAGCTCCCCTCTGGGGGAGGCTCTGGCGTAGGGGGAGGCCCGCCCCCTGTGCTCATCCTTGGTACCCCTTTCTCTGCACTTGGCTGACAGCTCTGGCTGTGTTCTCTGAGGTCAGTGGGCTGCCTAGGCTGGGGTGTTCCGGGCAGGGGAGGGAGGGTGCTGGGGGGCAGGGCTGATCTACAGCAGGTCTTGGGTGGCAGGTTCTGAACAATCCCCCAGGTTGTACTGGCCCCCCATCTGACCGCCTCTTTCCCGGCTCCCGCCCAGGAGTCAGGATGGGCAGCCTGGGGCTGTTCCTGCAGTGCGCCATCTCCCTGCTCTTCTCCCTGGTCATGGACCGGCTGGTGCAGCGATTCGGCACTCGGGCAGTCTATCTGGCCAGCGTGGTGGCTTTCCCTGTGGCTGCTGGCGCCACATGCCTGTCCCGCAGCGTGGCTGTTGTGACCGTCTCCGCCGCCCTCACCGGGTTCACCTTCTCCACCCTGCAGATCCTGCCCTACACGCTAGCCTCCCTCTACCACCGGGAGAAGCAGGTACTCTCCCGGATGCCACACTGGGTGCTGGGGACTGGGGCAGTGGGGTCAGGCAAGACAAACTGGAGAAGGCAGTCTGTGGTCAGAGAGGAAGCCTATGGAGGCCTGGGGGCCAGGGAAAGAGGGTGATTCTGGGAACGACTTCTGGTGTCAGGATCACAAAGCACTTGAGTGGGTGATGGCAGGAAATGCGAAACCCTTCTCTGGATCCTGAGAATCAGTCTGGCAGAAGCCCTCAGCCTGGACTGGGTTCTGGGCAGAGGTGGGGACTGGCTCAGATGGCCTCTGGGGCCTGGCTTCAGCACGTGGCCAGAGGCCACGGCCCGGTGTGGCCAACACCGGTCCTGTCTCGGTGAGAGGCTGGGAGAGGCACTGCGACCGCCCTGTGCCTGCTTTGGTGTCCTAGATGGACAAGGCTCCTCACTGCCCCCTCTTACGATCTACCTTCCTCTTCCCAAGTCTCTCTTTTCCTGCCTTACTCCTTCGCCTCCCCGCCCCCCCAGGGCAGATCTCGGCGCCTGCGGCTCCTGATACCACTTGCCTGGGCGCTTTGTAAGCCAGGCAGCCCCACACTAACCGGTCCTCCCAGGGGTCCCTTCTGTGGGAAGCCTCCTGACCTGGGCTGCATGGTCACCTTTGTCCCCTCCACTGACCTCACTGAACTATAGCCCTGGGTGCAGAGCTCTGTGCAGATGGGCACGAAGTTAGGGTGTCCCCAGGGAGGAGGAGCAGGTCTGTCCCCAGAGCTTCAGACTACAGAGGAGACGTGTCTCTGCCCTTTCAGGACATGGGTGGGGTAGCAGAGAAGCACGGAGCTGGGGGCTGGTTCACTGAATCGACAGCTACAGGGTAGGAGGAGTTGGGGGGCAGGGTCTGGGTTGGGGAACCTGCTTTGTGAGAGCCCTGTCAGCACGCTGGTGACTTTGGTCAGGCTCCACTCTGCTGCTGACCTGGCTGGGGGCTTAGTAGATGATGTCCAAAGGCCAGGCCTGGGCACGTGTGCTTGAGCCGGAGAACATGCTGGGGCTGGTCCTCCCTGAGGACCGAGGAGCATGCGCACGCCCGTCCGTGCCCCTCCGGGCCCCAGCCTCGCTGGTCTTCCCTGAGCTGGCAGGCAGGCAGGGAGGAGGGTCCTGGGAGGTCCCATTCCGGCAGCTGCAGGTCCCGTTCCAAATGCCTGGCCCTGGGCATTGCCTGCACCTGCCTTTTGCCGGCTTGAATAAGTTGCAGGCTTCCCTGGGGTCAGGTTTGAGCTCTGCCGTGGTTCCCTAGTGCAGCCAACTCCAGAATTCTTTCCTGTTGGGCACGAGTGGGGGTGGGAACAGTGTGATCAGTTGTATCCTCATCCTTGAATAGGAGGCCCAGACTGCTGGGGGCAGGGCCGGGCCAGGTCACTCAGGTCTGAGGACACAGTGAGAAGGTGGGGGAAGGGCTTCAGCATTAGCACAGCTAGGGCCCAGTCCGGGGAGGGCAGTTCCTCCGGTTTCTCTCTGAGGCTGTGTCTGCTGGACCCTCCTTGCCTCAAGGCTGGGGCCACAGACCTCACAGCAGGGCAGCCACTCCAGACAGGGCCCGGGGCGCAGTGGGAGCAGGGCTTCTCTCTGAAGATGGTGATAAGGGTTCCGAAATGTCCAGATGGTGGGGGGAAGGAAAGAAGAGGGTTTGGGCCACCTCGGGCCCCAGCCTTGGATTTCTTCCCTCTGTTTTAACACATCTTTCCTCCCTGTCGTCATTCTGCCTGTCTTTTCCTTCGCCTTGGGGTCCTGTTCCCTTCCCAACCTGCAGTACTGCATTAGTCCACCATCCGCCTGTTGCAGGACAGGCTAGAGGAGCCCTGGCCTTCTAGTTTCAGGGTTGCCCTGTCCCTGCCTCCCCTTCCCACTTCCAGTCCTGAGGAGTGTTCCAACTAGACCCAGGCCAAGCAGGGTCTGACCAGTCTTTTGACCCGCTGACTGATTTTCTTTAAGGGCCATGGCCTGGTTTAGTCTCCTAGCTGGGGGACTCCCGTGCCTGGGTGCACACCTGTCCTTGTCCCCTTTCTTTCCTCCTTCCACACAGGTGTTCCTGCCCAAGTACCGAGGAGATGCTGGAGGTGCTGCCAGTGAAGACAGCTTGATGACCAGCTTCCCTCCGGGCCCTAAGGCCGGGTCCCCCTTCCCCAATGGACACGTGGGTGCTGGGGGCAGCGGCCTGCTCCCGTCTGCACCTGCCCTCTGTGGGGCCTCTGCCTGCGATGTCTCCATGCGTGTGGTGGTGGGCGAGCCACCTGAGGTCAGGGTTGTTCCAGGCAGGGGCATCTGCCTGGACCTTGCCATCCTGGATAGTGCCTTCCTGCTGTCCCAGGTGGCCCCATCCCTGTTCATGGGCTCCATTGTCCAACTTAGCCAGTCTGTCACTGCCTATATGGTGTCAGCTGCTGGCCTGGGGCTGGTTGCCATTTATTTTGCTACACGGGTAGTATTTGACAAGAGTGACTTGACCAGATACTCAGTGTAGAGCACTTCCTACCCTCTGGTGGGGTCGGGGGTGGGGGGGGCTGCCTCATTGGGTCCCAGCTCCCTGTATTCCAGGCTCCATCTGGCTACTGGGCTGGCCTCCCAGATTTTATTGCTGCCTAAGTGGTGTGGCTCTCTGCTGCCACCCCGTGGTGATAAGGTGCATAGCTGCACAGTTAGAGTGGGGAGGGGGGATTCCCTCCCACAGTCTTTAGTGCTGTGGTTGACTCCAAACGGGCTTGAGTCTGGACTAAATACAGGGAGAGAAGGGCAGGGCATTTGATTAGCACCATGCACTGGAACTCAGGACTCTGGCAGAGTTACCCAGGCTCAAGGTTAACAGCTAGTGTCTCGATCAACGCATACCAAGGGAGGAAGGTATTTAGAGAGCTGAGTAACTCAGCCACCAATTCTCCCTCCTCTGAGCCCCCCATCCTGTAGGTTCCTCTAATGTTGCTCTAGTGTGAAACTCTCCACAGGATTTAAAAGTAAGAAAGTTACTTTGTTGGGGGTGGGGGGTAGGTTCCTTAGGGGAGAGGGAAGGGACACTTCCTGGCCCTGTGGCACTGCCGTCCCACTGAGCCCCTCAGCCCCTGTTTTGTCAGGACATGGCTTGTTGGCCCCTGTGTCTCCATCATAGGGACACAGGCCTTTAAATATTTAATTTATTTATTTAACTCAATAAGGGGCGTCAGTTCCCAGCTCTGCCATGTCTGGCCTAGGAGGTGACATCTCCAGTGACTGGGTCCTGTGACATGGCTGGTTATTGGCCTAAGCGTTGTCAGAATCTCCTTTCCTAGGGGTGATCTGTCTGGCCTCAAAACTGCCTAACCCAGGAGCTTAGAAGCTCTCTTCACCCCAGCTGATACACCAGCTGATACACCGACTCCTCTCCCCCAAGGCTGGGTAAAGATGGAGAGTTGGCCTGCAGGTCTCAGCCGCCTCGAGCCTCGTCTCCTCTCTGGGCCCAGCCTGCCCTCGCCCCCTCCCCTCTGCTCCCTCTAGGACTGGGCTGATGAGGGAGCCACCCACTCCCACCTTTCTCTGGCTTCACAGCCTCTGTTTGGGGCTGTTCCAGGACCAGAAGCAGCCAGGGCGGCTCCCCAAACCTTCGTCCGTCTCACGCCCAGGGCATATCTGTGCTTGGGGACTCGCACAGAAACTCAGGAGCACCCCCTGCCTAAGCTAAGGAGGTCATATCTCTGGGGGGTTTTAAGTGCCGTTTGCAATAATGTCATGTTTTATTTATTTAGCTGAGTAAATATTTTATACTGTATGTGAGCAATCAGAGTATAATGTTTATGGTGATGAAATTAAAGGCTTCTTATATGTTTAATTGGCCTGTATTTATCTTTTCTGCCCTGTAAAGATCAGATTTCTCAAAAATGATCCCCTGCTCCCTTCTCATGTTTTGTCAGCTTCAGTTCCCAGCTCCACCAGCAGGTGGAGCCATAGACCAATACTCTGCTCTTTGGCGATTGGGTGTGGCTGTGCGCCTTCTGGACTGGGGACTTCCTTTGGGAATGTCAGGTAGAGAAAGGGAGTGGAACAGTGTAGGGAGTGCAGAGAAGTGAGGGCATTTTCCTTCTCAACGGGCTCATAGTATGTCCAAGGAGATGGAGCAAGAACTACAGCAATATGAACTCCCTGACATGCGGGTGAGGATTTTGACCCAGCTGTGCCTTGGTTCCTGCCTTTTCTCGTCTCCTTGACCCTGCCAGCCTCAGGTCAAGTTCAGAGGCTTCTCTGCCATGTCACCTCCCTCTCCCCTTCAAACCTGCTGGGTCTTCCTGTCCCTTAAATTCAACTAGTTTTATTTATTTTTAAATGTCCTATATACTTTAAAAAAGATTTCATCTATTTTTTTAGAGTGGGGAAGGAGGAGAAAAGGGAGAAAGAAACATTGCTATGTGAGAGAAATGATGGTTGGTTGCCTCTCCCACGTGCCCCAGCTGGGACCAGGCTGGAAACCCAGCTCCTGCCCTGACAGGGACACACTGGTGACCTTCCGCCTTGCGGAGCCATGCTCAACCAGCTGAGCCACACTGGTCCTGCCTCTATATTTTATTTAGCTTTTTATTGTGGAAAATTTCAAACATACATGAGTAATTACCCTGGTATGATGAGCCTAACTTCAGCAGTCATTAACATTCTGCCATTTTTATTTTACACCCCAACCCCTTGATGTTTTTGCTGGGCTATTTTTAAAGCATGTGGCAGACACAATTCATTTAACTTGTAGTACTTCAGTGCACATCTTTAAAAATAGGGCGTTAAACAAGTCCGTCACAACACTATAAACATGTCCAACTGATGGTAACTCCTTATTGTTAATCACCCCATTCATGCACAACTTTCCCCAGTTGTCTTGGACACGTCTTTTATACTTGGCTTGTTCAAACTAAAAGAAATAACAAGGGTAGATGGCCTTCAGTATGTCTTTAACATACTACTTTTTAAAATGCCATTCATTTGTGAAAAACATTCATTTCTTCTACAGAATTGCCCACTGTCTGTATTTGGCCAACTGTATTCTCAGTGTTGAGATGTTCTCTCCCCCCCCCCCCATACAATGGTGATAAGAACTCGGGGCCACATCAAGTTCAAGTTTGTTCTGTCACAAGGACACAGGCCTTTATCTTCCTATGTCATTTTGGAGCAAATTTCAGACATAATACTTAATTTCTAAATACTTCAGAATGTGTTTCTGAAAGGTAATGACTTATTTTAAAAACCATATAGTCATATCACTATTATCAGATAAAAATCCCTTAGCATAATCAAATAACCAGTGTTCACATTTTCTGTCTCATAAATTATTTTGTATAATTTTTGTTCAAATCAGCATCTGAATATGAGAGGGGACCCCAAAACCCAGAATTTATAAAAATTGTGTATTTGTTTTTGCATGTTTAAACTTCAGTCACCTTCAAAGTACTCTCCATTTGATATAATATACCTAGAGAGGTTTTTTTCCACTGCTGAAAACAGTTTCGACTTGATTTTGATGACTTTAGTGCTTCTGCGTTTTGTTTGTTTGTTTGTTTCACCTCTTCCATAGCAAAACGTTCCCCTTGGAGGGCTTTTTTAATCAGGGGAAACAAAAATAAAGTTACTCTGGTGAGATGGGGTGAATAGGGAGGGTGGGGCACAGGGGTCATGCCACTTTTGGTGAAAAACTGCTGAACACTCAGCCTGGTGTGGGCAGGTGCTCCTGTAAATCATCCATTGTGAAATGGGCAAATGTGTTGAGTCTTTAAAAACAATCAACTGAAGCTGAATGCAGCCTCTCACAACACCGCCAGCTGGTTCTCTGGCACAGATGGGTTCCTAGAACACTTACCCAGTCACATGGGGCCCACCCTCCAGAAGGTAATTCTGGGTGTTTTGGGTCCCCACTGGTAAGTCCCATATGTTGCAATTGATTGATGTATCTCTTAAATTCATATATAATCCATAGGCATCTCCTCAACTTTTACTTTTTTCCTTGCAATTTGTTAAGAAGTGGGATTGTTTGTCCTATAGATTATGGTTATATTTCACGTTTTTATTGCTCTGTTTTTTCTGTTACACTGGTAATTAAAGTCAGAGACCACATTAGATTTGGGATTTTTTGTTTGTTTCCACAGTACTAGAGATTTGTGGGCTTCCCTGAAAAGGAGCGAGCAGTAGCTGGTTGTTTTTCAATGTTGGCAGTCACTGATGTCTTTACTCGGGCCCATTATTTCATCTGCATTGGGGAATGATGCTATTCTTTCATTTCTTCTTCAAAATAATCAACTTCCTACCAGTCCCCAGTGACGACAGAGAGGTTTTCCCTCAGCGGCAGCATGTACTCAAGAATTCACACACACTTGATGTGTTTCAGCCCTTTGCCATTGTTCCTCACCCTCAGACTGTTCCCATTTTCGGCCAGTGGGAGCCTCTTCAAGTTGAGTTTCTGAAACCTTTTGACACAATCCTTTTGAAAGTTTCTTTGCTTTCTGGCCTGACTGGATGTATAGGTTCATCTTGTATATTTCTGCCCACAGACCTGGAATGAGCTATTTCCTTTAAGGGTCTCCGAATGCTTTGTATGTAGAGGCCATAATATCTGCACCAGGAGTGCTTGTTACATACGGGATTGGTTACTGGTTTTAGGCTTTTTAAATGGACCAAGCTGAGGGGGAAAATTTAATGCAGATACGTTATAAGTTTGTACTGATCCTTCCAGATCAAGTTCAGGACTGTACATGTGCACGCACGCGCGCACACACACACACACACACACACACACACACACACGGTATTTTGCTTCTCTAATTTCTCCTGCCCTGAAACAGCCTGGCCCAGAGGCTCTATGTGAGTGCGTGTGATATGCGAGAAGCAAAAAGGACCCATCAGTTTGGCCTGCCTGTGCCACCAGTGTGCTCGTTCTTTGTCCCTTGGACCAGTAGCCTCCTCCTCACTGTACAAGCTGTTACAGACATGAAAGGAGACCGCAGACCCTCGGGGAACAAAAGGCTGGAGTGCAGATGCCTTTTGCAACACAAGTTTGCCATATCTGAAGCCAGATAAACCAGTTCACAAGCAACTAGGGTCTTGTGTGGGTAGTTCCTCAATTTTAAAATGCATTTCTCACAGAGACATAACTTCCTAACAAGTACAGAAAGAGAGGAGTGAAGCAGGAAGAAAGGGGCCTCTGGGAAGGCAGGAGGAGGAAGCTGCAAGTAACCTCAGGGACGTCACAACCAAGCTGACTGAGTCCTCCGCACAGGGCCTCCTGGACATGGGCAACCCGGCCCGTGCCTTTAAGGGACAGGCATGTATGAATCAAATGTCCATCGACGATGTATCAGGTATCTGTAAGTAGAAAATGCAGAACATGAACCAAAGATACTGTAACCGGAAAAGACACTGGCGTTTGGACTGCCTGTCACTACCAAACCCAATAAGCGATGACAGTGATTGAATCTTTTATGGGTGCTTTATTCAGATGGCTGGCGATCCGAGAGGATGGTGGGTTCATACCCTCATAGACCATCTTGCCTTCTCTTCCTAAGCCAGACTTTTTATATCAGGGAATAAACCAGGTGCGGTGAGGGCTCTGAGATTCAGGGAGGATTGGGTGACAGGAGCTGCAACATTCCTGTCCTGGGCAGTTAGCTGTTCCCAGGGGCGGTGGTCCTCTGTCTCTCCCTGGAACACAAAGGTCTGGATGCGTCCAGTTGTCCCCAGGCAGTAGTCTCTAGCAGTGCCCCAGGAGGTCGGCTGTTTTCCCAGGAGCCAGGACCAGCTGTATCTGTAGTGTCTGAAATAAAAGCTTTAACATACACATTACTTGCTAGGCTTACAACTTTTTACCTTAAGCTAAAATTTTCCAAGTCTTGAGTCCCCTATCAATGCTAATACCGTTTCAGAGGATGGAGAAATTGTTTTTCTGTGATGGAGAGAGGAAGGGCTATTCACAGCCCTCTCCACCCCCACAAGCAGGATCCCGCCCATCTCCCCGAGGGGGATGGAGTTGGGGGGGGGGCCCTGGCCTGTGGTTTGAGCCCAGACATGGAAAAAGGGGGACTGGGCTGGGGTAGGTGGGCAGTGCCCCATCCTTGTACATTCACGAATCTTCCTCTGGCCTGGAGTGGCCCTCCCTGCAGCGTCCTGAGTGGGGTGGAGGAGCAGGAAGAGCAGGGGTGGGGAACACCCCCTGGGCAGCTTGGGTCTCAGATTACTTCTCTTGCTGTTGGGGAAAAAGCCCTTCATTTCCAGGGTCAGATTCGGTTACAGCAACCTGGCAGTTTTGCCACTGCTGGCCTGAGGGTTGTTCAGAACTGGCACTTTCTGACACCCAGCACTGTCACTAGATCTCCACACACATGAGGAGGCAGCTTGTCATTGACCCCAGTCTGCCCCTCACTGGCATTTGACTTTCGACAAGTCGTTGTGCTGTGTGTGGGGAGGGGCTCGCAGAGCTCAGACTCGGCTGCTGAAACTCCGTGGCACCTGGATTCTGTGCCCTCCGCCCGCCCGGCAGCTAGCCATTTGCAGGCCCCATTGATGCTCTCTCCTTCCCTCCTTTCGCCACAAAATGTTTGCCTGCCTTCCTCTGTGCTGGGCCCTCTGCTAGCCCTGGGGCCGTGGCAATGAAAGAGCCATCACTGCAGCTCAGATGGGGCAGTGAGGTGCCGGCTGGGACCAGCCCCTGCTCACTTAGGGACCCAGGTCCGGGGCAGGGGGTGGGGTGGGGAGTGGGCTCCCGGGAGAGCGAGGTGCGAGTCTGACACAGAGCACCCCTCCTGCTGGCCGCTTCTCGGTGACTTCATCACGGTGACTTCATCACAGTGACGTGAGAGTAGC